CCTCAACCCCCCCCCACTGCTACCTCAGTCCCCTGGCCACCTGGAACTAGTTTAGCTTCCCTCCATTCACTAACTTCCTTGGCACCAAACCGCCCTTGTCTCTTTTTCATAGTTAACTGTAGTGTTCTGCCATTCCCTTGAGTTTTCCAACTTACCCAGAGAAGTTGGGCAATAAGGAAGCAATTCTGAGTTGATTATTTCTTAACCTCTGAGGCTGATTTAAGTCCTTTTAAGCACCCCTTCTAGCTCTAATGTTTACTATGTCTATGCACTAGATTTTATACTTCCCTATATGTCATTCCTCATTATAACCACAAACTCAAGCAATAACCACAAATACTTTTCTTCCTTTTATTTGAAAGCCAGCTCGTACGCATTCATAATTTTGTAGAACACCTACTTTTAGGGCACGAACAGTAGGTAGTAGTTATAATATTGATGGAGGTTATGGTGGTAAAAAATAGCAACAATAATAATAAGAGCAGCAAAGACCTGTTAAGCATTTGGTATGTGCCAGACACTATTTCCAGTGCTTATATATAGTCACTCATTTTATTCTCAGAACAACCCTCTGGAGACAGGTGTTGTTATTATCTGCACTTACGGACTGGGAAACTGAGGAGCCAAGTTTAGTAACATGTAGCTAGTGAGTGGCCAAGGTGGAATTAGAACCCAGGCAATGGAGCTTAGGGTTCTATTCTTTTAAGCACTCTACTGTGCTGCCTGTTAAGAAACCAGGCATCAGGATGAAAAAGATTAGGGGACCTAGAAGGACAAAAGTGAAGCTGAGTGAAGATCCTTTGATAAACCAGTTCAGAATTCCTAAAAGCCAGTTGAGGAATCTAGACTTATTAGAATCAAAAGAGATAATCATGTTTTAAAAATTAATAAAAATACAGAACATATTCCACCTGAGCTTATATTAGTGAGATAGTTTTTTATTATGTATTGAATTACATGTGAAATATCCATGTATACCCATGGAACATAATCTTTCTACTGTTTTGTAGAAACTATGCTGTTTATTGTCCTGACTTTTTTTTGACATTCTAATCAGAATTTAGTTTTACTCAGTGTAAAACCTTACTCCAATTATTTATCTGACTGCTCAGTATTAAATCTGCCATTTGGAATTTATGGTTTCTTTTTTTAAAATTTATTCTCAAGACTATTAATAGAAATGTTTGGCTGTAAATAGTAACCTAACATGTTTATGTACCTATTTTATTACTGTGGGTTATTATAAATTTATTTTTCAGGGAGAAGATGTTGACCTTCATCTGTTTCTACCAGATTGCCACCCTAGTAAATATTCATTATTCATGCTGGTAAAGAATTGCCACCCAAATAAAATGACTCATGACACTGGTCTTCCTGTTGAGTGTCAGAGCAGCCAGAAAACAGTTAAACCCAAATGGCGGAACCTTACTCAAGAAAAGTGAGTACCTAACAGGAGTGATAAATATTTTGTGTTTATATGTAGAGAAACTATTCTTCAGAGTCTTCCCAAGAATAATAATAAATTTGATTATCTGTACCTGTTTTATACAATGAAAGGAGTAAGTACCTGACTAGAAACTTTATTTTTTACTCTTAAAGGGCTGGTTGGGTTGAATGCTGGACCGTCCCAAGTGTCATGCTTACAATCAATTATATATGGCATCCAATTTACCCACAGAAAGCAGATGAGCAGCTAAAACAATCATGTAAGTGTTTTTATATAATTTGTACTTTGAAACATCTTGTGTTATGATTGGTAATCATCAGAGATACAAGAAAGAAAAAAATGCATCTATTCTTTTGACATAATTGTATACATTTAAAATCTTTTAAGGATTTTGGTATAATTATAGCTAACTTTTATTTAGCATTTCCTATGTGCAGATACTAGGCCAACCTGTTTCCTGGCTTGCATTATCTCATTTAATCCTTACAACAACTATGAGCTAGAGATATTGACATTCTTATTATCATTGTAGAGTTGAGGAAATATGCTCAGAGAAAGCCGTTACCTAATTTTCTCAGGGTCTTCCTGGCTAGAAGCAGCAGAGCTGGAATAGTGAACAAGGTGTATATCATCTGTATATTTAAAGTACTTGATTTTGTGGTTAGGTTCTTTAATGCATTTAATAACTGTCATAGTTACCCTGATTCTTATGTGCCTTATAATTGGGGTCCAAAATGGAATTAGTGTCAAGTGATATTTCCTTTGCTTTTTTCCAGTGAGTTAAGTTTTAAAGAATAGTTTTCAAAATCATTCTATGTATGGAGCTTGGTAACATCACACTGTATTTGAATAGCTGTTTAAAGGAAAACAACTGCACTTTAATACCCAAGTATAGTTAAAGCCTGATGGTGACCCAAATTTATATTGTAGAGACTTGACGTTAACAGGAACTTTTCATTGATTCTGTGTAGCATGATTCATGTATTTCTGCACATATTTCAATGAAGTCTATATTATTTTGCATTCTTTTTTTTTTTTATATCCTCACCCGAGGATATTTTTTCCATTTGCTTTTCAGAGAGAGTGGAAGGAAGAGAGAAAGAGAGAGAAAAACATCAATGTGAGAGAGACACATCGATTGGTTGCCTCCCACACGCGCCCTGACTGGGGCTGGGGATCGAGCCTGCAGCCGAGACATGTGCCCTTGGCGGGAATTGAACCGGGACCCTTCAGTCCACAGGCTGATGCTCTAACTACTGAGCCGAACAGGCCAGGGCTATTTTGCATTTTTAATTATTAGTTTTCAGGTTTGTTTTCATTATATGCTACAGATATTGTATCAGAGTTAGTTGCTTTCATATTTGCCAAATAGAATTTCTTAGTGAATAGTTCCTTGAAGAACTTCTAAGAGGTCCTTGTCTCCCTTCACCAAACTTTGTTTCTGAATTTATCTCAGTGTCAGAAATGGAAGAAACAATGCTGTCTGTATTGAGGCCATCCCAGAAGACATCAGACCGAGTTGTTTCTTCTCCCTCTACTTCTTCCCGTCCACCTGTCGACCCCTCTGAACTTCCACCTGATAAACTGCATGTAGAGATGGAACTTTCCCCGGACTCTCAGATAACTCTCTATGGACCACTATTAAATGCCTTTTTTTGTATAAAGGTATGATTTTTAAAAGACCTTGCATATTTTTAAACATATGCAAAATAGTTAATATCTAATTGAAATTGAGACCATTTGCAATAGCCAGTTGGATGATTTAAAGTGTTGAGAATATATATGTCGAGAATATATGTATTATATATAATATGTATATAGTATAGCTAGTATTAGACTCAATTACAAAATTATTGAAATAGTGTACTCATCAGTTCATCATTTTTTTGAGCATTTAGCATGTTCTAGGAATTGTGCTAGGTGCTAGAGATAGAGATAACACTGCATCTGCTCTCAAGGAGAAAAGCTAGGAGGGATAAAGCAGGACAGACATGTGTGGACAGACTTTAACACGTACTTAAAGCAGTACTAGAAGTACAAGAGAACCTTTTATCTGAGGGTAACTGGTACCAGGAAAAGTCTACTTCAAGCGAATCTGTTAAAAACAGACAACTTTATTTCATAGTAAAGAATAATCAAAGGTTGTTTGGAGCTCCATCTTAAAAATTGAACCAAATATATGAAAATAAGTTTATTTCAGAGTATCACAAATTTAGATTCTGAAGAAATATGCACTATTTTTTGAGCAAGGATGGAATCAAGTGTTGATTCATTTTGATACAATTCTTTTACTGAAATTGTATGACTGTAGTATGGTAGCACTTACAGGTGGTGTCTGTGGCATGATTATGAAGAGGGGCGACTTTAAGAACAATGGATGAGGACTTCATCAGTTTTCTAGAAGTCACTCTTATTTTTTTGATATTCAACTCATACTTTTAAAAAGTCACCAGCGGGTCATCAATAATTCTTTTTTTTTAAAAAAAATATCTTTATTGATTTCAGAGAGAGGAAGGGAGAGGATAAGAGAGAGAAATATCAGTGATGAGAGAGTCATTGGTCAGCTGCCTCCTGCACACCGCCTACTGGGGGATCGAGCCCGTAGCCCGGGCATGTGCCCTGACTGGGAATTGAAGCATGATCTCCCGGATCCTAGTTCAAAGCTCAATTGCTGAGCCATGCCCGGCCGGGCAATAATTCTTATTGATTTACTCTTCTTTATGGTAACTGCTCTAAGCCTTCCAAATCCTCATCACTGAAAAGTTTACCTGGGACTTGAGCAGTTATCCAATGAAACTTTCAACACCTTCATGAAATTTTGCATTTTTCCAGGACTTTGCAAATTCACTTTGCTTTTTTTTGTACTGTTGGTTGTTTTCTACATCTGACAACCAAAGAGAGACTAATTGTTCAAACCCTAACAGTCACGAGCAATAAGCCTAGTTTCATCAGTGCTTCCTTATGCACTTTTGCAGTCTTACTGCTGCAGAAGCTGGGATAGCGAATGCTTAGCTAGCAGAACTCTGTAACATGCAGTGATGAAGGGCATCATTCATTCTGGGAAGGTCAAGGACAATCAGGGATGGTCAGGGAAGGATAGTCAAGGTTTGCTAGCCAAGACTAGGAGAAGAAGTGCTTGCTGAATGCTTTAGAAGGCACCTAAAATCTCACGTCAAGCAGATTCCAAGTAGGACCTGTATTATTTAGAGGCAGGAAATAGGAAAAAGCAGGTTCTGTGAGTCAGTAGATTTGGGATTTTAATAGTCCAGACACTAATTAACGGAATGACCTTAAGCTCTTCAACATCCTGCCCTATGAAAAGATAGTAATTGACCTGATGTCTGGAACCCTAGCCAGAAAACAAATGTCGATAACCAAAATGCAGAATTTATCAAATACTGACTTGTTTCTAATACTGAACGAATACAGTTAACAGTGTTAACAGGAATATTTTAAAACTCTTGATAACTACTGACAGATCAAATAGATAAAATTTAAATTCAAAACTAGTGGGAAGAAAAACGTTTCAATTAAAAATAAATTTTGATGCAAAGAAACAGACTATTAGTAGTGGAACCACTAATTAATGCATAAGAAACCAGGATGAACATATGTGAACTATGTTAACTGTTTTATAACATGTTTTTGTTAGCAATAACCAAAATTGGACATTCTTATTAAACTGTTAAAATATTCCTGATAACTATTTCAACTGGTATATATGAATTGTAGTATTTAGCTAGTTGGATTTAGGTAGTATTTGGCTAGTTGGATTTAGCCAAATTGATTTTTAGTGAAGTGATCTGCTTCCCTTAAAGGATGTCTCTGGATATTATTTCCTCTGTACTCTAGGAAGTACAGTTGACAACGATTGAACCTTACAAATCTTCAAAGATTTCTTCTAGGATGTAGATTGCAAGTTTTTGTTATAATTGGAGGTGGTGTTAACATGAAGCTTTACTATATAAACTTCTGTAACTTTAGCAGGTTTTTTTTGCTATAGAATATTTATTTGCTAAGCATCTAAGTAAGCATATGTCTTAAATATGTGTATCTTTTTCTCCATTTTAAGGAAACAGACCAGATGCTTTTAATTAAATAAAATAGGTTAGAGAGATGCTTAGTTTACAGACTTTGGGCTCTAAGGTGAGAAGTTATTGTTACCTATGTTTTTTTATAACAATTTGTTCTTAATATATATAGGAAAACTACTTTGGGGAAGATGACATGTACATGGATTTTGAAGAGGTTATTTCAAGTCCAGTTCTGTCCCTGTCAACATCATCCAGCTCCGGGTGGACTGCAGTCGGAATGGAAGGTGATAGAAAGGAAAACGAAAGTTCAGCCAAGTCAATTCATCCATTGTCCTTGCGTCCATGGGATATTACTGTGCTTGTGAATTTGTACAAAGTTCATGGGCGTCTGCCTGTTGTAAGTGTTTACATATTAAAACAGTCTGGAGTATCATATGAAATTTACCCAGCATAGGAAACTGTATGTGTGTGTGCGTGTGCACACACACAATTATAAAAAATGTCACATTAAAAACTTCTAAATTTATCCTTTTATCTCTATAAAGCTAGTTTATTATTTTCTTCAGAATGTTATTACTTGATCGTTGATAATTTTACTTTCTGTTTTTCTCCTTTCACTTGAATTTCTTCTTTGCTGTTCTGTGTAACTTCAGAACATTTTGACATGGCATTGAGTTGTTTTGTTTATAGTTAGCCTGAAGGGTATTCTAGGACTTACATTTTCTTAGCCTTCATCTCCAACCCCAGACCTGTTTGGTGCTTTGTGATGGACCTATTATAAAATCAAGGTTCAGGCTTGACCCTGGAGATTGAATTGTGCTCCTGTAGGTTTGGATCCAGCATTGAACCCTGGTTCACTCTCAGGATGACTGTGGGCCTGTTGGGGCTGACTTGGAACAGGGATTTATTACCTAAAGAACCCAGGGCCATTGGAGCCAGGTTAGATGGGGTCTGAGCTTTGGGCTGCATACCGACTCCATATCATATACCTTGGACTGCACAGCAGAGAGGTCACCTCTTAGTGGACCTAATGTCCTTACTGGGGTACTGATGACTTGTGTTTGTTAGTAAAGCATTTCTCTTTTTAAAAATTGAAACCTCTTAATCATATAAATACAATTTTTATTTTCCTGTACTTCCTTGGTCTTCAACATCTTGATTACTGGTTTTGTTTGATTTTATTTAGCACGGAACTGCTGATGGTCCTGAGTGTCCCACAGCTTTCTTGGAAAGACTATGTTTTGAAATGAAAAAAGGATTCAGGGAGACCATGCTGCAGCTTGTCCTGTCACCCCTGAGTGTGTTCGTCAGTGACAACCACCAGGTAACGTGGAAGTGAGTCGTGGTAGAGACTTAGTGATTTCTTGTTACTGTTTATGGGGTGAAAACAATGTGTTAGTTTCTATGCATGGAGTCTACAGCTCTGTAACTAGAAACTTTTCATTTGACTGTAGGAAGAAGTTTTGTATGTGTGTATGGATGTATGAGAGTTTTTCAAGAATCTGTTTTTGTTTTTTTTTCCGCTATTTCCTGTTTATGTGATCCCAGAAAATTATATTTTATATCTATTGTTTTTAGAAATGGGAAGAAATACTTTATAAATTTCTCATTTATTTATGGAAGGGAAAAGTGTAGAAAATGTTGGTGGATTCTGCTGAAAATCACAGCCTAAGTATTACTATTAACCAGGATCATAAATCTTCAAAACAAAATATCTGCATGGCCGATGATTTATTCTTTTCATCTGACATGCCTACAGGATACTTTGTTAATTCTCTTACGGTATCCCTTAGGCTCTTTTGGAAGAGAACCAATGATATTCATTAAGTGGAAATAATTTATCTTCCTGGGTAGATGATCACTTTATAATTATTACTTTTTAATGCCAAATTCTACCACTACTTTAGGGCTCTTCCCTACTTTTAGGCATGTGGTATGCTTTAGAAATATAAATGGGTTTATGTAAGGCCAGGTAAATATGTAAGTGGGAAGGTGAATCTGATGCACCAGATCATCAATGGATGATAACTTACTGTGGATTCTGTGTAGTAATTGATCACCTTATTTCCAATAGCATAACCCCTTTTCACTGTTTTGCCATAAGTGATTCTATTTTTCTACATAGAATTTTAATTTATATTTTCATATGTACATAGTAGCTGAAACTAGCACTTACTGTATGCTTATTTTGCCACAGAATGTGCTTCCTCTTCTAACTTGTATTTCAAAATAGTAATAGATTCAGAGGAAGTTGCAAAGTTAGTACAGAGAGTCCCTGTGTCCCCTTCCCCCAGTAACCCCATATTGACCTTGTACATAATTATAGTGCAATATCAAAACCAGGAAGTTGACATTGGTGCCACACGTATGCATAGTTGTGTGTCTACTTACCATGTGTAGATTTGTGTGACTGCTACTGGAATCAGGATGCAGCACTGTGCTATCATCACAAAGATCTCACTTGCAATAACCCTTTATTTTAGTTTGCCGCAGGAATCTTAGAAACAACTCTTGTTCTTCTCTTTCTAACCAGTGGGTCATTAGGATTGTTTGGTGTTTGTTTGTTTTTTAAATTCTGAGAGGTAAGTGTGTGGAAAGGAAGCCCATCTCCTTGTTTTCAATCTATTGAGGAAATTAATAAAGGTGAAGGGAAGTATCTCCTGATGGCTGAGTCCTGAGAATCTTAGTCAAATATCTGATTCCTTACGAGTACCTGGTGTCACTTTAACTTTTATTTCCATCACTGTGTCCTCAAAAGACTGGACCAGGTATAAAAAACATTTTATTGAGCTCTTTATGAGAGGTCACATTAACCATAATGACAAGAGTTTTGACAGGTTTATGCAGAGACCGAAGTTCTAGGCGTGGTTTATCTGGTGCTTAGAGAGGAGTTCTTGGAGTGGGGCTAGCAGGGCAGCAGAGCACTAGTGATGCTTGTGTGATGCTTGGTTTCTCAGGTGCTATGCTTCATTGTGCTCCCTGAAGACCAGGGACTCCCTCTGTGCTCTTGCAGTCTGCTCATCTACTGAACTTGCTTACATTTTGTAGTGCCCGCTCATCTATTCCTAAGAACTCTCTTTTCCCTCCCCAAATCAGTTAGTATATCAGAGTTTAATTTCTTTTATTTTTTATTTTATTTAATTTCTTTCTTTCTTTCTTTCTTTCTTTCTTTCTTTCTTTCTTTCTTTCTTTCTTTCTTTCTTTCTTTCTTTCTTTCTTTCTTTCTTT